TAAAGTGGGACTCCGGCCAATTTGCTTAAATTTTGGATAGTGTAGGGAACCTCTGTTAGGTTTTTATTGCTGTTTGTATCCCTTTTGGGAAGTTTTTCTCTCATTTTATTTTCCGGCAATAAGAACATGTTTTTAGTTCATATGGTATGAGTTTAGAAAGTAAAATATTTCCTTCTTTCTGACATTAGAAAGGTGGGAGGTATGGTCTCACAGCGGGAGGTCTGCTCTCCAGCAGCCTTTGCAAGAGATCATATCCTGTAATTTGGGTTCTGATCTTAAAGTGGAAGTTCAGTCAAAATCTAACTAAGGCTAAACCTACTCCGACTCCCATTCTAAGACCATTCTATCTAACCCTGTAAAGAAAACATCTGTATACTTACCTCTTCTGAAGCCGTTCTGGTCTGGTCCCATGGTCTCTCCAGCAGTGGCTTGTGTGTAGAGGAGAGATCACCGCCAATGGCTATAAATGCCTGGAAGATGACGTCACCTATAGACTTACTATGGGTCATCCGTTGGAGGTGCCCCTCCTCTACATTGAAGGTGCCAGTGACAGCTGATCCTGGGACTGGAACAGAGCACCCTCAGAATAGGAAAGTATACAGATCTTTTCTTTACAGGGTTAGAGAGAATAGGCCTTGAATGGGGAGGGGGGGGGCAGGAGTAAGTTTAGCCTTAGTTAGATTTTGACTGGACTTCCACTTTAAAGCGGAGTTCCATCCAAAAGTGCAAGCTCCACTTTACTGCCTTCTGCCTCCCTCCACTGCCACATTTGGCACCTTTTGGGGGGGGAGCAGGTACCTGGTTTTGCTGGCACCCCCCTCAGCCCTCTGGGAAACTTACAAGGTCCCAGAGGACTGCAGCCCATTCACAAATAGCAGCGCGCTTTGCCCATGCGCAGTATAGGAAACCAGGGCTCCACCGCCGGTTTCCTATCAAGATGGCAGAACCAGTACCCAACAGCCGATTGAAGAATCGGCTTGCAGTGAGGACACCGCTTCAAGGCTTCTCTGCTGGTTTCCCATAGTCAAGATGGCGGCCCCAGCACCCGACAGCCGATTGAAGAATCGGCTCGGGGTGAGGACACTGCTGGATGCATGGACAGGTAAGTGCCCAACTATTATAAGTCAGCAGCCACAGTATTTATAGCTGCTGATTTTTAACTTTTTTTTGGGGAGGTGGCAGGGGCCGGAACTCCGCTTAGATTGTCTGCTATTTTAGAACAAAGTAAAGATGAAACATATCCAGGTTAGTGTTAGGGGTTAATGCTACGGATTGATAGTGCTGGAGGTTTATGTTAGAAAAAGTGTTAGACGTTAGAGTTAGTGTTGGGGTTAATTTTAGTGGGTACTGCAATGATTAGTTTTATTGTTGGGGGTAATGTTATGGCTAGTTTTAGTGATGGAGTAAATATTAATGTTATGGCTAGAGTAAAGCTGGCCATAGATGGACCAAAATTTGGCCAGTTCAGCATTATCTGGCCAAGATTCGATCCGTTCATGAGCAAAAAGATGATACCCAAGTTGATCCATTGATCGACACTGACTGTGTTGATGGGGGAATCCAGAGACTTCATTTCCTCCACCAGTGGTAGAAGGAAAGAAAATCGAATCATCTATGGGCTGCCTTAGTGTTGGGGGTTAATTTTAGTGTTAATGTTAGAGGTCAATTTTAGAGTTGGTGTTGGGGATTAATGTTAGACGTTAGGGTTACTGTAAGGGGGTTAACTTTAGGGTTATTTTTGGGGGTTATTAATAAAGTGATGCTAGTAGTTAAAGTTAGTGTTTGGGGTTTAAGTGTTCCAAAATCCTACCTTAATGCATTCTGTGCATCCAAATGAAGTAAAGCTTTGATTTTTTCTTTTTTTTACTAAAAATAATAAACATCTTACATTTACCTGCTCTGATCTTCTTCTTCTGGTGTCCCCCACTGGCATTCCTGGCTCCTTCCACTTCAGCAAATGCTCCCATAGCAAGCTGCTTCCTATGGGGGTACACACGCGAGCGAGCTCCCGAGCCGTCCTGTCTGCATCTATAGACACAGGCAGTGTGGCTCAGCCTCACCCCCTGCTCACTCGTCACACAATTGGATTGACAGCAGTGGGAGCCTATGACTCCCGCTGCTATCAATCTGCCCCGTGAAGAGGGAAAAAGCAGAAAGAGATGCTGCTCTTGTGCACGTCGCTGGATCAAGATCGGACTCAGGTAAGTATAAGGGGGTGAGGGGAGAATTATCTGAAAGAGTTTTTTAGAATGCATTCAGTTTCATAGAATGCATTCAGGTAACAAAAAGAAGCCCTTAAGGCTTTAGAACCACTTTAATGCAAAACACAAAACTTTCTTAGTCCAGGATCCCCCCAAGCCCCACCCTATGCTTACCTGAGCCCAATCTTGATCTGTGCATGAGAGCAGCCCCTGTCTCAGCTCTCTCCCTCCTCACAGGGCAGATTGATAGCAGTGGAAGCCATTGGCTACTGCTGCTGTCATATAAATCCTATGACAAGGAAGTGAGGGACAGGGACAATTCTCTGTGGCTATGCAGCAAGCCCAAATGAGTACCCACTTTAGCAAGTGGTTTGCTATGGGGGCACTCCGAAGGCACAAGGAGCCAGCAATACCAGTGGAGAACCCCAGAAGAGGTGAAGAAGAGGTGGCTCAGGGCTGCTCTGTGCAAAACCATTGCACAGTGCAGATAAGTATAACATGTTTGTTATTTTAAAAAAATAAAGGCTTAGAATCACTTTAATTATGGGGTAGATTTTAGAGTTAGTTTTAGGGATTCATGTCACGGTAAATTTAGTGTTTGTATTGGTTAAGATTAGTGGTTAGACTGAGTGTTGTAGGTTATCATTAGGGTTAATGTTAGCGTTAGTATTTGTGGTTATCATTAGGGTTAATGTTAGAATTCGTGTCAGGGTTAACGTTAGAGTTGGGGGTTAATGTTAGGGGTTACCATATGCAGTATACTATAGGGAAGCAATTACTGCAGTCGCAGGGAATAATGTCAGTAAAACATTTTATAACATTATACAGGCATAAATGATATAAGTACATCAATTTGCCATCCCCAGGTACTGCACTCACCTCCTTTTGGTTCATCGGAATCCACTGTATCTTCACCAGGCTGCTCTGTGCCCTCCATTCATGCACTGTAGCCTTCATCGCACTCTATGGAATTTGACTCTTCCATGAGTGTCAGATTTTTGTGTCCCCTTCCATGCTGTGGTTCCATCCTCCCACCACTATATTACTGCTTAGTCTTGTAGTGATGTAAGGATCAAAGTACAGATCCACAGCGCAAATTGTTGAATACCAAAGCGAGTGTTGGAGGCTGCAGCATTGAAATGGTGGAAAGGTAGGAGGCACGGGTCCCAGAGAGGTGAATATACTACCTATTCAAATTATTTTCATCATCTGAATCACTTTAAGTCCAATATTGCTCTTGTAACATTACTGGAGGTAATATCACAAATGAGCAAAGCTAGCTGTTTACCAGCATGTACCAGGTGGAAAGTCTGACATTTCCTCACATTGAAAACTATCCATGAATTAGGTGTGGACAAGGGAAACATTTACTATCAGACAGGCAAACCTTTTATGTGTTAATGCCTGAAACATTTCCTTTTCTGATGTACCAGTTGCTGTTGTCACACGTTGCACCATGTGCTAATTCTGCTTGATTTAACTATAAGGGCTAGCTCTCCTCCTGCACTCCCGACAGCACCCCCAATGACAGCCCAGTATACCCTGCTAGCTACCACATGTCAGTCCCCTGCTTCCACTCGCTGCACCTATTCTGCCTTTAACCCTGTAAAGAAGTCCTCTGTAGCAACGCTCCCTCCTTTGTTCCATCCCCCAGCTCTTCTCTGCCTACAGCTGCTCTTACAAACCTGCGCTTACTTACATTGCTCCAGTAACTAAAACCAGGAAAAAGGCGAAAATTCTTTCCAACCAGTACCATCCTGCCAGTATCCAAACCGGTCAGCCTGCTGTCTGAGAACCCGCCTTCCGTGGTTCAGCCTGGTGTCCCGGCGCCCGCAATTCAGCCTGATACCCTGATGCCCAATGACCCAGTGTACGCTACCTGGCCTGATGTTCCTACCCAGCCTGATGTTCCTACCCAGCCTGACGATCTAGTGCCCGCTATCCAGCCTGATGACCCGATCCGGCCTGATGATCCTATCCAGCTTGATGATCTAGTGTACGCTACCCAGCCTGATGACCCGATCCGGCCTGACGACCCGATCCAGCTTGATGATCTGGTATACGCTACCCAACCTGATGACCCGATCCGGCCTGATGATCCTATACGGCCTGATGACCCGATCCAGCCTGATGACCCGATCCAGCCTGATGACCCGATCCAACCTGATGACCCAATCCAGCCTGATGGCCTGATCCAGCCTGATGACCTTGTGTTCGTGATCCAGCCCGATGACCTGATCCAGCCTGATGACCCGGTCCGGCCTGATGACCCGATCCAGCCTGATGACCCGATTCAGCCTGATGACCCGCCCGATGACCCGATCCGGCCTGATGACCCGATCCAACCTGATGACCCGGCCCGATGACCCGATCTAGCCTGATGACCCGATCCAACCTGATGACCCAATCCAGCCTGATGACCTTGTGTTCGTGATCCAGCCCGATGACCTGATCCAGCCTGATGACCCGGTCCGGCCTGATGACCAGATCCAGCCTGATGACCCGATCCAGCCTGATGACCCGATCCAGCCTGATGACCCGGCCCGATGACCCGATCCAGCCTGATGACCTGATCCAACCTGATGACCCGATCCAGCCTGATGACCCGATCCAGCCTGATGACCCGATCCAGCCTGATGGCCTGATCCAGCCTGATGACCTGGTGTTCGTGATCCAGCCCGATGACCCGATCCAGCCTGACGGCCTGGTACCTCGGTGCCCACTGTCAAGCCTGGTGACTCGGTGCCCGCTGTCGAGCCAGATGACTCGGTGCCCGCTGTCGAGCCAGATGACTCGGTGCCCGCTGTCGAGCTTGGTGACCCTGTGCCCGCTGTCATGCCAGGTGACTCGGAGCCCGCTGTCGAGCTTGGTGACTCGGTGCCCGCTGTCGAGCTTTGTGACTCGGTGCCCACTGTTGTGCCAGATGACTCAGAGCCCGCTGCTGAGCTTGGTGACCAGGTACCCGCTGTCGTGCCAGGTGACTCGGTGCTCGCTGTCATGCCAGTTGACTCAGTGCCCGCTGTCATGCCAGATGACTCGGAGCCCGCTGTCGAGCTTGGTGACTCGGTGCCCGCTGTCGTGCCTGGTGACTCGGTGCCCGCTGCCCAGCCTGACGTGCCTCTGTCCGCTGCCCAGCCTGACGTGCCTCCGTCCGCTGCCCAGCCTGACGTGCCTCCGTCCGCTGCCCAGCCTGACGTGCCTCCGTCCGCTGCCCAGCCTGATGTGCCTCCGTCCGCTGCCCAGCCTGATGTGCCTCCGTCCGCTGCCCAGCCTGACGTGCCTCCGTCCGCTGCCCAGCCTGATGTGCCTCCGTCCGCTGCCCAGCCTGATGTGCCAGCCCCTGATATTCAGCCAGTTACCTGACCCGGGTGGTGGAACATTTTGCCCACTAGGACTGTGGCGGTTGGACTCACCTGCCTTGTGGGCTGCAGTACCAGGGCTGGCCAGCGGGTGCTCTCAGCAACCAGAAGCTCACTCCTGCAATCAGCCATCACCTGAGGCTGATTGCAAGAGGTGTATTTAAGGAATGGCCAGACCTGCAGTCCGGGCCTTGGTGTTTGTTTCCCATGTGCCCTGTTTCCTGTATCCTGTCTCCTGCCTGCTCGACTCTCCTGCTTGACTCTGACTCTGATAGAACTCCGCCTGCACTGACCCCGGCTATTCCTGACCATTCTTCTGCCTGCTCCCGTTGTACCTTTCTGCCTGATTGTTCCTGACCCGGCCTGCCTGACCACTCCACCTCTCCAGCCCTGACTGCACCTGTGCCTATTAGTTTAAGGTTTGTTTTGTTTGGCACTGTGTTTGTTTATTTTGTGCAGCTCATAATAAATATTATTATTATTTAATCATTTCTGAAGCCTGCTGTTTCCCTGTGTCAGTCCACACATCTCTGGTCATACCTGGATCCCTGACAGAGTGGCTGTGATTAGCTACAGGAGCTGGCAGTCTCCCAATACCTTTCAATGGCTCCCGCAGCTCATCACCATGAACCGCTCTAAAATGTAATCAGTGTCGGATGCATTCGGAGGTGTGAATGCACCTAAGGCTGGATTCCAGCCAAATTTTTACATTTTACTTTTAGCTTCGGATAGAGTTGAATGGTTGGAAACACTGTCAGGTTTTAAACGCTAAATCCCTATTTACTTTCAATTCCAGGTTCTGCCTGACTCTCATCCCCAGAATAGGAATTGAGGGGAGTATCTGCAACAGATACCATTCCTGTCTCTTCCAGAAATATTGTATTTAATGCTGTATTCCTATTGCGGAACCTTCCCCCTCGCTTTCTCTTCTGACACCTGTCAAATAGTTTTTTAAGGTGAAATCTCTTAGTGGGGACATGAAAAACCTGACAAAGGGTCCAAGCCCTCCATCACTCTGTCCAAAACAAGGTCTGTTTCTTAAGTGTCTCCCCTTAGTCAGCATACTCACTGAAAAAAAAAACCTTGTAAAGAAAAAAAAGCTATTATATTTACCTTTCCTTCAGCTTTTGTGGTGCAGGAGTTGACAACATCCTACTAACGATGAGATCCCAGGAAATGGTGAGCACTCCAAAATCTCATGAGAAGATACAGCAGAACATTGGAGTACCCTACCCAGATCTTGCAGACGGAGGATGACATCACCTCATCTACAGTGGGGATCAAAAGTTTGGGCACCCCAGCTAAAAATGTGTATTAATGTGCATAAAGAAGCCAAGGAAAGATGGAAAAATCTCCAAAAGGCATCAAAATACAGATTTAACCGCTTGCCGCCCTGCCACTGTGTATATACATGTGCAGGGCGGCAGTGGAGCGCAAAACCACGTTTAAAAACGGGTTCCGCGCTCCGACACTTTCACCGGCAGGGGGGCGCGCCGCGCGCGCGCTCCCGCCGACCCGCGGGTGACACTATTTGATCCAGGAGGGATCAATCATTAGATTTCAGCCAGTGATTTCTGGCTGAAATCACATGATCGGTCCCTGTCCTATCCTGTCCTGTGTTGACATACACAGGGCAGGATATGATGTCATTCTTCTCTGCCTGGACACATTCCGTTCCAGACAGAGAAGAAGACATCCAAAAAAGTGAGTACACAAGCACTACACTACAGTTAGAACACTCTAGGACACATTTACCCCCTGATCGCCCCCCCCCCTCCAGTTAACCCTTCACTGCCTGTCACCAGTGTTACTGATCAGTGAAGCGATTTTTACTGATCAGTGTCGCTGGCGACTTCCGATAGAGTTAGCGCCCCTCCCAGATAGCGCCAGATTGCCCGCCAGTACACCAGTAATCCCGTTTAACCCCTTGATCGCCCCCCCCCCTCCAGTTAACCCTTCACTGCCCTGTCACCAGTGTCACTGATCAGTGAACCAATTTTTACTGATCACTGTATCAGTGTCGCTGGCGACTTCCGATAGAGTTAGCGCCCCTCCCAGATAGCGCCAGTTTGCCCGCCAGTACACCAGTAATCCCGTTTAAACCCCTTGATCGTCCCCCCCTCCAGTTAACCCCTTCACTGCCCTGTCACCCAGTGTCACTGATCAGTGAACCAATTTTTACAGATCACTGTATCAGTGTCGCTGGCGACTTCCGATAGAGTTAGCGCCCCTCCCAGATAGCGCAGATTGCCCGCCAGTACACCAGTAATCCCGTTTAAACCCTTGATCGCCCCCCCCCCCCTCCAGTTAAACCCTTCACTGCCTGTCACCCAGTGTCACTGATCAGTGAACCAATTTTTACTGATCACTGTATCAGTGTCGCTGGCGACTTCCGATAGAGTTAGCGCCCCTCCCAGATAGCGCCAGTTTGCCCGCCAGCATGTACACCAGTAATCCCGTTTAACCCTTGATCGCCCCCCCCCCTCCAGTTAACCCCTTCACTGCCCTGTCACCAGTGTCACTGATCAGTGAACCAATTTTTACAGATTCACTGTATCAGTGTCGCTGGCGACTTCCGATAGAGTTAGCGCCCCTCCCAGATAGCGCCAGATTGCCCGCCAGTACACCAGTAATCCCGTTTAACCCCTTGATCGCCCCCCCCCCCCCTCCAGTTAAACCTTCACTGCCTGTCACCCAGTGTCACTGATCAGTGAACCAATTTTTACTGATCACTGTATCAGTGTCGCTGGCGACTTCCGATAGAGTTAGCGCCCCTCCAGATAGCACCAGTTTGCCGCCAGTACACCAGTAATCCCGTTTAACCCTTGATCGCCCCCCCAGTTAACCCCTGCACTGCCCTGTCCCAGTGTCACTGATCAGTGAACCAATTTTTACAGATCACTGTATCAGTGTCGCTGGCGACTTCCGATAGAGTTAGCGCCCCTACCAGATAGCGCCAGATTGCCCGCCAGTACACAGTAATCCCGTTTAACCCTTGATCACCCCCCCCTCCAGTTAATCCCCTTCAATGCCCTGTCACCAGTGTCACTGATCAGTGAACCAATTTTTACTGATCACTGTATCAGTGTCGCTGGCGACTTCCGATAGAGTTAGCGCCCCTCCCAGATAGCGCCAGTTTGCCGCCAGTACACCAGTAATCCCGTTTAATCCCTTGATCGCCCCCCCCCCCCCAGTTAACCCCTTCACTGCCCTGTCACCAGTGTCACTGAACAGTGAACCAATTTTTACTGATCACTGTTCAGTGTCGCTGGCGACTTCCGATAGTGTTAGTGCCCCTCCCAGATAGGGCGCAGTTTGCCCGCCAGTACACCAGTAATCCGTTTAACCCTTGATCACCCCCCCCAGTTAACCCCTTCACTGCCCTGTAAGTGTCACTGATCAGTGAACAATTTTTACTGATCACTGTATCAGTGTCGCTGGCGACTTCCGATAGTGTTAGCGCCCCTCCCAGATAGCGCCAGATTGCCCGCTAGTACACCAGTAATCCCATTTAACCCTTTAATCTCCCCCCCCCCAGTTAACCCATTCACTGCCCTGTCACCAGTGTCACTGATCAGTGAACCGATTTTTACTGATCACTATATCAGTGTCGCTGGCGACTTCCGATAGAGTTAGCGCCCTCCCAGATAGCGCCAGATTGCCCGCCAGTACACCAGTAATCCGTTTAACCCTTGATCACCCCCCCCAGTTAACCCCTTCACTGCCTGTCACCAGTGTCATTGATTACAGTGAACAGATTTTTACTGATCACTTGTATTAGTGTCACTGGTGACTTCCGATAGTGTTAGCGCCCCTCATAGATAGCGCCAGTTTGCACACTAATGCACGGGATTTTTTTACCAAAAACATGTAGCAGAATACATTTTGGCTTAAATTTATGACTAACTTTGAGTTTACGATATATTTTTTATAGCTGAAAGTAGAAAATATTTTTTTTTTCAAAATTTTTGTGGTTTTTTTGTTTATAGCGCAAAAAATAAAAAGCGCACAGGTGATCAAATACCACCAAAAGAAAGCTCTATTTGTGTGAAAAAAAAGGACGTAATTTTTCGTTTGGGTGCAGCATTGCGATGACCGCGCAATTATCATTTGAGTTAGTGCAGCGCTGTATAGCAAAAAAAGGCATAAATTACAGTATCTATACCATAGTTTGTAGACGCTATAACTTTCACATAAAGCAATCAATATACACTTATTGGGATTTTTTTTACCAAAAAAATGTGGAAGAATACATTTTGGCTTAAATTTATGACTAACTTTGAGTTTACGAATATTTTTTATAGCTGAAAGTAGAAAATATTGGTTTTTTTTCAAAATTTTTTTTTTGTGGTTTTTTTGTTTATAGCGCAAAAAATAAAAAGCGCACAGGTGATCAAATACCACCAAAAGAAAGCTCTATTTGTGTGAAAAAAAGGACGTAATTTTCGTTTGGGTGGAGTGCAGCATTGCATGACCGCGCAATTATCATTTGAGTTAGTGCAGCGCTGTATAGCAAAAAAAGGCATAAATTACAGTATCTATACCATAGTTTGTAGACGCTATAACGTTCACACAAAGCAATCAATATACACTTATTGGGATTTTTTTTACCAAAAACATGTAGCAGAATACATTTTGGCTTAAATTTATGACTAACTTTGAGTTTACGATATATTTTTTATAGCTGAAAGTAGAAAATATTGTTTTTTTTTTCAAAATTTTTGTGGTTTTTTTGTTTATAGCGCAAAAAATAAAAAGCGCACAGTGTGATCAAATACCACCAAAAGAAAGCTCTATTTGTGTGAAAAAAAGGACGTAAATTTTGTTTGGGTACAGCATTGCATGACCGTGCGCAATTATCATTTGAATTAGTGCAGCGCTGTATAGCAAAAAAAGGCATAAATTACAGCATCTATACGATAGTTTGTAGACGCTATAACTTTCACACAAAGCAATCAATATACACTTATTGGGATTTTTTTTTACCAAAAACATGTAGCAGAATACATTTTGGCTTAAATTTATGACT